AAAAAAGATACAAATAAGTAGCTTCTGATCTTCTTTACATAAGTACAGTTATAAATTTACCTCTTACTCTATGGTTACAATATAACTCTCTTCTTTCTATAATCTATCCTGTCTAATCATCAAAACCATAACTCATGAGTTTATTTTTTTCTGTTTCACGCAAAAAGTCTATAAAGGGTTTCCAGTCACCAATAAATGTAGATATTGTCTTCTTTCTGATCAAAGAAGTCAATTTAGCCATCTCAGCAAGTTTTATCCTCTTCACCAACCATTCCTCCATTGTGAATAGTGCCAAACCTTTCCATCTTTGTGCATACAATAATTTTGCTGCAGTTATAATGTACAAAAACAAAGTTCCATAACATTTTTTCAACTGTCCATCAATCCTAAAAGATTAACCACCACTTGGACCCAGCCACCTGCCATCTCCCAGGAGGCCTCAGTCAACCAGCCATGGGTCCAGAACACAGATAGCCGAGTTCACAGCCATGAGGACCCTGTCCACTTCTTCAAGATCAACTGGCTCAGACTCCTCCCAGATAACAGGGCTCAGACATGCCTCAGTCACTTCCAAGGGATCCCCCCAGCCAGAGTCCAACTCCGAGTGAAGCCAAGTGACTTTATCTGACAATGGCCTTCCAGGAGCTCCCCCAGCTCCTCCTTACCCAGGAGGGACCTGGTCACCTGAAACAGGGCCCTGGGCAGCTATCTGCAGATGCAATAAGGGCAGAGAAGTAAATACGCTTTGCCGCCCTTATCACCACATTAGTCCTAATATAGGCTTTTACCTCTGCTTTGTCGGCTTTACTCTTGGTCTTCCTCCGGCAGTGCTCTAGGCGTCTCTTGTGTTGCTTCATCTCTCTGAGCTGTTTGATCAACCAAGGCGCTCTATGAGATCCATATACACAGAGAGTGTGCACAGGCACAATTTGGTTCAACGCCCCTGTCACCTTCTCATTCCAAGCAACAATGAGGGCATCTGCCGAACTGCATGTCAGAGCTTCAGGAAAAACCCCAAGTTCCCTTTGAAACCACACTGGGTCCATCAGGCACCTAAGGCAGGCTGATTTAATAGGCCCCACTTTCCTGTGGTGAGGGGCAACTGCTGAGAACTCTAGAGCCAACAGGGACTGGTCTGTCCATGGCAGGGGACTGACGTTAACACCCCCCAAAACCAGATCACAACACCACTGCCCCAAGGCAAACATCAGATCCAATGTGTAGCCTCCCGTGTGAGTTGGGGCATGAATAAGTTGAACCAGGACCATGGCTGCCATGGTGGCCATGAACTCCTGTGCTACCTCAGACCCCGGGCCCAGAGATGGCAGGTTAAAATCCCCTAGAACCATAAGCCTGGGGAACTCCATCACCAGGTCAGACACAAAGTCCAGGAATGCAGCTACACTGCAGGGAGGAAGGTAAATGAGCAACAATCTCCACTGATCCCTATGGCCCAGCCTCAAAAAGAGGGTCTCACATCCAGTAATGTCTGGGGCAGGGCCCCTGGAGGCCACCAGAGACTCACAAATAACGACCGCCACGCCCCCACTCCTGTCCTGGAGTCACAGCTGATGCCACACTTGAAACCCAGGAGGGCACATTTGAGAGAGGGGACCCCCCTCCCACTTCATTGCCCAACCAGGTCTCAGTAATACAAGCCTGGTATTTGGAGTAATACATCCAAATCATGGATGAGGTGGGCTTTATTGCAAGCCTACCTGGCATTCAGCAGCAGCAGCTAAAGACCAGAGCCACCAAAGCTCTGGAAACCAGATCCTGGGGCCAAGCACAGGGGGCCAAACACACAGTACAGTATTAAACACCAGGGCTGCCTTCTCTGAGAGTGGCCCACCCCGTCTCCTGCCATACTTCCTCATGCCTGTCACCACTACAATCATTCCCCTTGACAAAATTCTAGTATCTCGTGATAAGTTAGCCATTTATGTTTACCTATTATTTCTCGTCTATAAAATGCTTCTTGTGCTGAGAGCCCCAGAGGTGTTTTCAGGCACAGCCTGGGTTTGTATCTATTCCATATTCTCAATATGGCACATCTAACATAATGATTTTTAAAATCCACATTAACCTTCACTTTGTTGTATCACAAATATCCATGCCACCTCGTCTATAAAATGCTTCTTGTGCTGAGAGCCCCAGAGGTGTTTTCAGGCACAGCCTGGGTTTGTATCTATTCCATATTCTCAATATGGCACATCTAACATAATGATTTTTAAAATCCACATTAACCTTCACTTTGTTGTATCACAAATATCCATGCCACCCAAATCTCAGGATATGTCCTAACTCCAAAAGAAGCTCTGAATTCCTTATCAATCTTATAATTTCCCTGTCAGCTTCATAAGTCTATTTGAGGATCAGAAAGGGACAGGGTGGGAGACTTGTGTAGAAGCAGTAGACTAAAGCAGTAGAGATTGTACGTGGGACAAGTATCTGCCAAAAGAAACAATCAGAAATTCTAAGAACAAAGAAGCAATGAATGAGTATATAGTATCTGTGACTATTAACTGAGTGTGACTTTCCAACATTTGAGAAATGGAAATAAAGTTTAAGTGAAGAGTCTGCATCTCAGCGGTAGGGCATAAAATCTGCATGCAAACCATCTGAGGTTCAATCAATCAATTTGCAATGTATTGTCAATGAAATGGATTTCAGGTGCTGGTGCTGGAAAAGACTTCTGTTCAGGAATCTGACAAAGTATTTCAAAGTAATTAATACTGCAGCAGTCTCTTGTTTTATCCGCTGGCATAAAATGTCCAGAAGGTGGTGCTTTGTATCATATGAAGGTGTTCACTTGAAAACATTTTTACTCAGTTCAGCAGTGTTAACTACAGTGTAACATTTTTAAAAATTATCTGCAGTGAAATAAGCAGATTAACAGAATACTCTGTAGCAGAGAACTCAGATTAACTTGGGCTGCATTCATAGATTCTTTCAACTTCTGAGTTATTTCTCACTATTAGAGAATCCATGTTTGTTTCTAAGGTAACTCTAGGTTAGAAATCAGACTGGTGGATCCAGATGATCTGTATCCTCCAAATGTGGCTGAGGGCACATGCAAAACATTTGCTTGACTATATCTACTTGTGACTGCTTTTACAGTTTATTTTAGTCAGGAGTTGTTCTGACCACCTCTGAATTTAAAACACACTCACACACACATTTTTTACTTTCTGGACCCAGTCAGCCAATCCTCACCTGCCAGGTAACCCAGAAGGGGCAGATCTGAGCAAAAGATTATAGAATGCCCTTCTCCAAGTATTTGGACTGTATCTTCGTCCTTAGGCCTAAATTCACTGAACAAAATATGACTATTTGATGCTTTGGATAAAGAACTTCAGGATACTGCAGATACAAGTGATTTTTATCTCTGAATTACTTGGTGAGTAAGTCACGGGCAGTCTTTGAGGTTTCCCTCAACTCATGTTGTGGGCCATACTGCAGGAAGTCCCTAATATAAAAACTGTTTTGGATATCACATTCCAGACATTCTAGTACTGTAGTAGAAACTTACATCTCACTGATTTCATCAATGCCACAAGGTAAGTTCTAGCTCAAAGTGAACTCTCGCCTGTCTGGAGTGAATCTGATGAAACCAGGGATGGGTTAACCTGCGGGCCATATAGAGTCTCCAAGCCTTGTTTCTGTGCATCTCAGGTTCCCCCCAAAATCAGCAGCAAATCACCAAAAAGTGATTATAAACCTTCACATTGATTTCCAGTAGGAATCTAAAAAAATAACGTGACTCCCCAAAACCTCAACTTCGACCTGCCTTCTTTCATGATAGTCTAACCTCCTGTCCCAGATGCTGAAAAAAAAATACATGTAGAAGATCATGGATTTTGGTCTGGGTTGTTTTTTCTCTCTCCTGAACCACCACCTATAATTGCTTTTTAAATAGGAAAGTTAAATTCTTTATAATAAAATATTTATTTTCTTTGGCCAAATATATGCCAATGAAGCCCAATCACGGTATCACTGGAATACTGGCAGAATTTTTTAAAAATACTATTTTTCATTCTCTGAGCTACCCACCCATTTTTCTGTTGGGCTTGAGGTTCTTTTTTTAAATAATAAATCCACTGATGCACTACTTCATTGTTTTTCTATTCACTAGAGGTAGAAGTGGATCTACTTTCACTAGAGAAGTAGTGAAAAACACTAGAAGCTTCACTCCCAGCTCCCAGATAGTCCTTGTGGTTAGAAAATCTTTGTCCACAATTTGAGTTCCATTAGAGTTGCACTATTTCTAAATAAAAGTAAATTGAAAAGATTTAAATCTCTTACTTACAAACTGGTAACTCAGGGAATATATATAATAAAAGAACTTCAAGATCTATATTTTTAGCTAGATTCCTCAAATCAGCTCTAGAAAGCAGTTTAGTCTAAAGGTGTTTAAAAAGAACAACCAGCTCTATGTTTTCAACAAACTAACAAAATTTACATTCATAGTTATAGTTAATTTTAAGATATCAGAAACATATGAAGAGATGTGTCTAACCCATACAAGTTGCTGTAGAATTATGACACCACAAGCTCAACAGTGGTTGAAATGCTCATTAATGCCATATGTCTCCATTGGTTTAACCATTAAAGATTCCCTTAATGAAATCAAGCTGTGAAAGTATAGTTCTAGAGCAGATAAAGGATGTGTAACAATTAGCATGAAGTCAAAACAGATTATCTTCCTAGGCTCAGAAATTCACAGGGATGTGACTGGGGATATGAAATAAAGAAATGCCTGCTACTTGGGAGAAAGACTATGACAGATCTGGATAAAATATTAAGAAGCAGATACATCATACTGAAAACAAATTGTCAAGCCCATGCTTTTCCCAGTTGTAATATATGACCATGAATGCTGAACCAATAGAAAGATTGAACAAAGAAAATGTATACCTTTGAACTGTAGTGTTACAACTGCAGTGTAGAGAAAATTGTTCAAAATAATTTGGACCACAAGAAAAACAAATCATGCAGCACTGGATGAAAGAAAACCAGACTGCTCAGTAGAAGCACCAATAATGAAAGAACAGCTTAAATGTTTTGTCACAAAATGTAAAGACCAGAGTCATTGGATTACAGTACTCAGGCTTCCTTAGGAGAAGCACTGAGGTGGACATCACCAAGAATTAAACTCTGAAGGAATGACAAAGATGTTCTAGAAGATAATAGTTAAAAACAGTTTTACACTTTTGCTAAGGGAGATTAAGATTTTGTTTTGTTTTTTAAATAACCCAGGAGTTCATTCCATATTTAAGGGCTGAGTTCACACATAATGATAAGCCATTCTTTAAGTACTGTTTATTTAGTAAATCAGTTTTGTCTAGAACAAAACACCTTAAACCATAAACTATGGTTATAAACAAAATACTAAGCCAAAACCAACAGATCATGTTTTGGTTTAACACAACAAACTCTAATCCCATATATACAGTCCAATAGCATACATTATGATACATTTATATGACTTGCTAGATTAGAGGAAAAATCTGTGTCTCTGAAGCCAAGTAATAGCCATCCAGTATGTCAGTCCCAAAAGAAGGCAGCATCTAATTAGCCTTTTCTGGGTTTCGAAGCTAAACGAGATCCAGTAGTTAGCTCTTACGAAGAGATGCAGAATTTTAAAATAACACAGAAAGCTGGCTTTATCCAGAAATTAAAGCCCTAATGCTGTATCTTTCCAGCTTCCTGAATAACAGTTTAAGTGACCTGCAACCCATTCCATTTCCTGAATTCCTTAGTCTTTATTCAGTGTGAAGCTCCATTGGACTGGAGCATCCCAAATAGCTTGTTCTGCATCAACCAAAGCAGCAAATCTAGAGTAACCAGATGGATTGCCAGCATTCCAATGAGAACTATACTTTCCCCTTCTAATTGCCTCCACTACTTCAGCAGAGATGTGAGAGACACCAAGCACATGCTTTGAGAAACAATGTTATGATACAGTCATCAGCAATTCAGGTCAGATAGTTATCAGCATAGCACCTAAGGATGATCTGATAAGCAGCAGAAAAGAAAACCTCTTTCCTCTGGATTCCAAACCAAACCAGCCTCATTGGGTTGCTTTGTTTTGTTCCCTAATCAAGCAAACAAGTAACAGACAGCTACCTAACATTTGGCTTTTCTTATTTTCTTTGGGACAAGAAATTGTAATGCTAAAGTTACCTTCAAATCCAAAGCAAAAAAGTGATTGTACTCACAGCTGGCCTAGTGAGAAGATAATGCTGGCTGTCAAGAAGAGAGATCCTTGGGAGGA